TCTATCTTCCTTCAAATGAAGGTGAAAAAATTTCACTCTGCACTTCAGTACTGGTATCTTTGACTGTTTTTCTTCTTGTTATTGAAGAAATTATTCCATCATCTTCTAAAGTTATCCCACTCATAGGAGAGTACTTGGTGTTTACTATGATATTTGTGACCTTGTCCATTGTGATCACTGTCTTTGCCATCAACATCCACCACCGCTCCTCGTCCACACACAACGCCATGGCACCCTGGGTTCGCAAGATATTTCTGCACAAGCTGCCCAAGCTGCTTTGTATGAGAAGCCATGTCGACAGGTACTTTGCTCAGAAGGAGGAAACAGCAAATATGAATGGATCAGAATCATCCAGGAACACCTTGGAAGCAGCTCTGGATTCCATCCGCTACATTACGAGACATGTGATGAAGGAGAACGAGGTTCGCGAGGTGGGTGTGTCGGTCCTGCTGCGCTGATTTTGTGCAAGTGCAGATTAGAAAACCAAGTTGCATATTAAAGATGTGCTACAGATTCCCAGCTTTTGTACTTGGCTGTAAGTTGTGTAGTTGTTTCCACAGGGAAAAAAGTGCAAATATGGTACAATCCTGAGACTATTTGGCTGATACAGTGCAGTATTTGGGGTCTTCAGAAGTCTTTTGCTGTTTTCTAATAGTTCTTGTCACTAGTTACACATTGTGAGACACTTGTCTGTCACAAGAGCATGTACTGTAACTGTTCCCTACAGCACTGCTGAGATGACAAGAGAAGGAGCTCTTTTTCACTTTAATGTTGTACTCAAAGGCTGTCTTGAAAAGTGCATTTGCCTTATATTTTCCAACTGTATACTGCCAATACTTATCTTGCAGCTTTCAATTTCAAGTAAAAACAGTCTGAGTGCTCTAACTTATATTAGTTTAAATACAGGCTATAGCCATATGTTGGCCATTTTGTGCTCAGATGAAACATGGACTCAATGACTTTCTAAGTGTTCTCTCATACCCTTATTTGCCCTAAGTTTTATCAAAAGATGTCAGAGGCTTTTTTTCAGTGTCAGAGTGTATTTGCACTCTGAATTATCCTTAATGAATGCTTACAACATTTGTGTAAGTGCATTAGAAATCTGTTTTCTTTACATGCTCTTTAAGCTAGCTCCATTGGTACATCAGAGACTTAAATGCTACTTCCAGTCTAATGTAGAAGTTTGTAGAAATATAGAAGTTTGTGGTGCACTGTCTGTTCCTGATGGCAAAGCCTGAGGTTCTTTCAGTCTATATGGGAATTGCTGTCTTCAGAAGGCTCTGGTTGCTGAGAGTGTGTTCTCCCATACAAGACTTGGAGTAATGTACCTCCTCTGATGTGCCTTCTCAGGACTTGATTCTGACATTGTCACAAGGGATGTGGCCTAGATTTTTAATAAATGTATCTGCTGTACTGTTAAAGCAGCATCTGCATTGTATGAACAACAGAAATATAATAGTTTGCTATTAAATACATAATTTCCTGTAAATTAAGCGTTGACTGTGAGTGACAAGTAGTAAGTATTTTGTTTTTCAAGTGTAATGTTGTTACTGTAAACCTTGGAAATTAATATACAGCTGTCTGGGGATTCGGCTGTTTTATTATTACTGGGCTCCAGAGAATGCAAGCTTTAATTGTAAGAGTTGTTAATAAACACTAGACAGCTAGTGCTATTGTAGCCTTACATCTTAGGAAGCATTAGGCTTGGGAAACATGGATAGCTCCAGTTCAAATCCAAGACAATTGTTTGGCACAGTTTTAATTTGCTTGCACAATTAAATCTGCAATACCTGCAAAACTGTGCATAGATGTGAATAATTTTATCAAAAAAGAAATCAGTTTTGAAACTAGTGTGAGTATTCTCCCCAGTATAATTCTTTGCAGCTTTCAGCAATTGTTTGTAACACAACTGCTCTGTACTAACAATTAAAAAAAAATTATTTACTACTTGGCAGGTTTGGTTTTGGTTTTCTGGTTAGTTTTTTTGTTGTGGGCTGGTATTTTTGGTTGTTTGGAGACTTTTTTTACAACTTTTGCTTCCAACTCCTCCTTGGCAATTCCACGTTGTGATGTCGTGTGCCATGTAGCCTGCAGTGTGTTAGAAAATGGCAGGCCAGCCTCATCTCTATAGATGAGGATGTTTGGTGCTTCTCAGGGTCAATTTCTGCATCAAAATCTGCATCTACATAGCTGATCAATCTTCACAGAGGGAAGCTTGCTTCAGTTCTAACTCAAAGTATAATTATAAAATATTGTTCCAGAGGGTTATCATAGGGACATGGTTGGGAAAAGTGTATCTTGAGATAATTAAGATTTGCAGGATGTGTTATTGTGTTTTTGCCTGTTCTTGCACACACTGACCAACTCATGTGCTCTCTGTGTTTTAGGTTGTTGAAGACTGGAAATACATTGCTCAGGTGCTTGATCGAATGTTCTTATGGGCTTTTCTTCTGGTTTCAATAATTGGATCACTTGTGTTATTTATTCCTGTTATTCATAAATGGGCAAGTATAATAGTCCCTACCCATATAGGCAGTACAAATGCATAAAATATTTTTGGAGCTATGTCCTATTGATCTGGCTCTAAATTTTGCAGTAGCTCTGTTTCCATGCATGTTCTTTGTAGGTATGTTTCTGGTAGAGTGAAAAAAAAGTCCAGAACTAGAAAATTAGTTTTATCTTAAAGCATGGCATTCCCAGGACACACAGAAGTCAGTCTGCTTATTGCCAGTCTACTGAGTTACTGACAGCCAGGTCAGGATTAAAAGAACCATTTCAAGTCATGGCATGTATGATTTATCAAAAAAGCAGACACTGACACCTACTGTGATATAGAAGGATTTCAATTTTTTAATGATGATCACTGTAGTCCAATTATTAAACTACTATATCAATTGTTATACTGAATATTACATATTTGCAGTTATACAGTAGAGTTGTTTATTTCAATTTAGAATACAAAGGTGAATTTTCATCACTTCTCTTCAGTGTGTTGTAGAAGTCTGAAATTTCACCAGAGTAATTTAAAATAATAAAAATATAAGTTAAACTTCCTGTGTATCTAATATACAACTAAGAAAAGCAATTTGGCCATGTTTAGCCTTTATAAATTTTCAGTGGAATTTGCTGCTAAATTTTAAAGCTTGATAATTCTGTGATACCAACATGAGCATTTAATAAGCCTTAAAATGCCTAAAGCATTGATGTCTCCATCAGCTTTGGAAAGAAAGGCAAAGGCAGTTAACTGAGTTCCCAAGGTGCATAAGTGTTCTAAGGGGCTGGAACATTCAGATTTCTTTACTCTTGATGAAGAATTCGATACAGTGTGTGAGTTTACAGACATGTTCATTATTTCCTATATCTGGGTGTTTCTCAGAATTAAGATTTTTAAGCACAGGCAGAAGGAATTTGTGGGGCATCTTTCTGAAGGAAATGGGTTATTAATTACTATGCTGTGGAACCAAATGGAGATGATTAATGATTTTCACATTTGTTTAATTGAACTTAAGAGAGATACCTTGGATTAGTTCTTTCACTTTAAAAACCATGTGTAACTCTAAGCAGCAAGGACTTAAGAGTTTTCTGTATTTCCTTTTGCCTAAAATCACTGAAAATGAACTTGCAATTTTCCAATTATTCCATTAAAATGCATTCTTTACACTGATTCCAATGCCACCTTTCTTCCTTTCTTAAGAGTTTTATTTCTGGAAAAGACTCTAAAATAGTTGGGTATTTTCCTACACTAAAGTTTTTTCAGTGTTGTTCATAATATAATTGCATCCTGTAGGCCTAATACAGGAGTAGAGCAGGCGAGAGCAAATCTTAGGAAGTTTTTGTTTGCTTAAATTACTACATGAAATATAACATGTCTAGGTGAGAAGTTTTAATGTAAACTGTGGTATCTTCAATAATTTAAAGTTTTTATAGTGATTATAAATTTGAACAACAGATATGTATTTCTCCCATACTCCCTCCCAGATCTCCTTTAGAAAAGCCCTGCATTAATTATAATAGTGATTACTTATGTCATAATTTATATATAATTGAATATTTATTTCAAAATATTTTAATCTGCAAGACAGTCTTAGTTTTGTGTAGCTTTAAAGGCTCACAGGTAGGGAAATTATATCAGGCAGACCTTTTTATTTCCTTTTTTTATAATAGCAGTTACGGATTTACTCTTCTTCAGTTACACAGTTACATCTGACATTGAATATCCATGTTTCCTCTATTCCCATCATAACTTGCACAGTGAATTTGCAAAGATTATCTGTTTTAATTCATTAATATAAGAGCTTTAACTTCCCAGTATTACTGAGGTTAAGCAATGCATCAATGACTTTCTCTGTGTGCAAGTTGCAGAAATACTTCAGATTGCTTGTTTCCTCTTCAAATACACATTTCTTTTTAAAGTCTTCCATCGGTTTGAATTACTGAAATTTATCTTACCTGTAGAGGAAGCAAAGTGAGTGCAACTGTAGATTAGATATATATCTCATTTTTTTACTCTCCATTTCATCTTTTTCCCCTTGTTAAATGATGTCTCCAGGCTGCTCAGTTACATCATGATGGGCAGCACATTGTCCAGTGTAGTCACTCTCTCTATTATAGTAACTCACAGTTTTTGCAAATGCATGAATTTCTTTTAGTGACTTCTAGTCTGATCATGATAGATTCAAATAACACAGCTGACACTGGAATCCTTGGGGTCTTCTGCTTATCAGGTGTGTCTGAAACAAAAGAATGTTAATATACTCAGAAGCATGGACTTTTACTTCTGTAACTTACTGCTGAATGTATTGAACTGTAGGTAATACTACCTTATCTAGATCTCTGTCACTTGCTCAAAATAAATGAAAAAAAAGGCACAGTTTTCAACAGTTTGATTATCTTTATTTTCATAAATGTTATATCACTTGATACACTGTATTTCCACAAGTTTTCAGTTTGGTACAGAGAGAACAATTTGTATTTTTTACAAAATATGATCTGATTACAGTGTTTTGTTACATTCTTTATTCATACTCTTAAATAATCTGCAGTTACTGATTAAAAAAAAAAAAGAGAAGATATATATGCCTAAGCAACAATTTTAGCACATTTTACAGGACTATTTTTGTCTACCTGCCTTACCTTGGCATAAAACACTTCACTACAGCAGGATGCCTCTGTATCCAAACTATCCTGTCCAAGTGTTTTGATCCTTTACATCACTTGCAGACTGTCTTATTGTGTGTTTTATTTGTACACAATTCTAAACATCATTAGGTTTGAGCACTTTTTTTCCTGACAGCCTTCACATACATTGCAGTCTGGGGAAACACAGAGTTTACTTTATGGTTGCTTTATTACCATCATCTATTATTTACCTATTTGTTCTCCTTTTGTACTAAACCCCTCCTGAGTCCTTTCTTGCCACTGTGTGGGTCAGTTTGTACAGCAGGTGGCAATGTCTGCACTCCAGCCATTTGGAATTGGTGCTTCCCACCCTTCTGTCCTTGGGAGGGTGTTCATGGAACTCACTGTGAACTCCTTCCAGAAGATCCTGGCATGCTCTGAAGAAGCTTGGGACCAGACTACAAACAAACCTAACAGCCCAAAGCATTCAACTCATCTTGACTTTCCAAATACTCATCTAATTTTCCATTTCTTTATTAACCCCTTCTTAAACCATTCCTATAAAGTTTAACATGCTGCCTCCATCTTCTATTGTGGGAAGTAGCTGTAAAGCATAGCTTGTATTACTTTGAGATCAGCGGTCATAAAGTTTCCAAATAATTCCTTTTTCTGCATTTTGAACAAATATGCCTTCATAAAGTGAAGTTGAAGCCAAGAGGGATCCTTGTTCTACTGCATGGAAGAGATGTGAGGTGCTGGGAGAGGAATGCAGAGTTGGTTGGCAGTTTTATTTGATTTCACAACGTGTTTAATTTTTACATTTCATCTCCAGCCATCAGAGGTTGTAAAAACAATCCTGCTGTTCCTAGAATACATACCAGGATGAAAACCCATAGAAAAATACGATCAATTACCATGGCAACATATTTCCAATCATCCTGAATCTGAAAAGAAAAAAAAAAATAGCAAGTTGGCATGTTTATTAGGTAAGTTGCATTAGCAATAATACCATTTCATATAAGAAGCACAGTTTTTTCTGTATGTAGATATCCTTATGAAGACACAACTTACACATCTGTTTTCACTGACAAATGAAAATTTGGGGCAAAGCCAAAAGCTGCTGCTTCAAATCCAAAAGGTTGTTCACCAAGACACTGGACTTGAGGAGACACAACGTCTCTATTCAAGCTTTACATTCTTAGATGAACAGGTTTGTACAGAAAACGTTACTGAAACAGACTGCTCCTACTGGCCTTTAGGTAGTATGTAAAAAGCAAAGATTTATTGGTATGTAATTATTTGGTACTTTGTTATGTAGTACTGAAATTTGACTATTTTCATGCATCATGTAAAATTTGTCTCTGTGCCTTTCATGTAAGGAGGGAACCAAGTTTCAGAAAACACCTGATTTTTCTAATTTTCTTTTTTTTACAGTATGTTTTATAGCAAGAGTGGCAATGAAGTATTATATATGTTATATATTCATAGTAACTCGGTGATAATTTTTCGTTACTATTAAGATTACAATTCAGGTTTTTTTTGTTTTTCTTCAAGAATGATAAGAAATTTGTTCTTTTTGGCTTAGAACTTCTTTGTAAAGGGAAACTTAAGAATCCAAAGCAACTGTCTATTTTCTGTACCAACTAATTCTAAATCTAAATAGAGTTCTGATTTAAGTATAAACAAAATGAAGTTAGAATGAAGTGCTATAGTTTGGGGATTTAAAAACTGTGATGGTGTGGCTACTGCTTATATTATGTTTGAGGAATATGGTAGGAAAAAAAAAACCTTTCAATTTTTTTTTCTCCTTTATTGTATTAAGATGGAGCTTTATGAAAGATGCTGGTCCCTCTCTTGCAGTAGTTGCCTCATTTAGCTACAGCACCTTACCCTGCAGCAGCCACAGAATGAACACCATCATCACTGTGAGGGACATTCACTCTAACATTTCTGTTGTTGAAAGTAAGCTGTGGGAGAGAGAATGTAACTTTCTAAATGCCACAGGGTCAGGAAATTCCACTATTAAGATTATAACTTGGAAAATCCTAACTTCAGCTCTCATGGGATGGGTGCTTTGGTATGTTCCCCTTAATGTGCCTCACTCAGTGTATATATTGTCAATAAAGAGAACACTGTGCAGCAGAGCTGCTTCTCAATTATGTAAGTTCAAAATTGCACATATTTGTAATATAGCTTGTGTAATTTACTTGTATAAAATAATGGTCTCTTTTATCTTTTTTGTCTGTTTGAGATCTTTTTCTTACCAAACACTCTAATGGCAAAAGGTATCTGCAGTTTGAGTAACAGTAAAATATGTTCTTACCTCTTTTGCTTCATTCTGCATTTTCATATTTTCTGCAATGTATTTCACACTTTCAATAGCATCTCTCATTTCTGGTGAGAGAACTGAAAATGAAAGCATAGGATCTACAGACTCAGAGCTTGAACTTCTAGTGAGATTGCCACTGAAATCCGAGAACTTCGTGCACTGATACTGACAGCAGCTGCATGCCATATCTTGACAAGCAAAGCCATCTTTGCAGCATTTGGTTTCAGAGCCATTGATGCAATTTAAGTTTGAAAACTCAGAAGTGAATAATGGTTTTGGCTTCTGATTATTCTCTTCATCACTGGCAGGCCTTGTCATGAACATGATCCGGGGAAGTAAGTTTAAGAAAATGGTTCTCACCCACACGGGCATTGTGTGTGTCTTGGGTGTTCTGTAGTGCACATTTAGTACAAATACTGTAATGACAATGGAGAGAGTTACAAATATCATGGTGAAAAGGAGGTATTCCCCAATAAGGGGAATTACCAGGGAAGTAGAAGGTATGGTTTCTGTGATAACAAGAAGGAACACTGTTAAAGAGAGAAGCACTGATATGCAGAGTGTCACCTTCTCACCACAGTCTGAGGGCAAATAGAAAACTAATACAGTCAGAAAAGAAATCAGCAGACAGGGAATAATCATATTGATAGTGTAAAATAAAGGTAAACGCCTGATGTAAAGAGAATATGTGATGTCTGGGTATATCTCTTCGCAACAGTTGTATTTGATGTCATGTTTATACCCAGGAGCTTTAATTATAGCCCATTCTCCGCTCTCCCAGTAATCTTTCAGGTTCATTGTAGAGCCAATTAGAACTAAGTCAATTTTGGCTTTGTCGTAAGACCAGGAACCAAACTTCATGGTGCAGTTCTGATAATCAAATGGGAAGTAGGTTACATCTATTTTACATGAACTTTTGAATATAGCTGGAGGTATCCAGGTCACATCACCCGTGTATTTTAACAGGGCCTTTGTCTTGTCATCAACCTGGAAATCCCCAACTGCACTGTAAAGCAAGTAAAAATAGCAAAAATTAGAATTATCTACCCCAGGTAGTTTCATACATTCAGATCATATACATGAACTCTTTAATCTGTTTTGGGGAAGTCAGCCATTACTTGTTTACTTGGAGCTGAATTGCTCATGCAAGACTGACTCAGTGACCATCATAAATTCGCATGGTTAAACTGAAACAAACAGCTCTATAAACTCACCAGGGAGGAGGTGAAAGCCAATATTTTTCCTTATTAATAGTATGGCTTGGTGCAATCAATATTCAAAATGGCAAATAACAGATTGCAAATGGCAGTCTGACTAGACGAGTCTTGTAGGCCCCTTCCAACTGAATTATTTCTTTCTGTTCTATTCTAGATTGATCAAGCACATCAGAACTCAGGGGTGATAAGAGTATTACTGGTATTTCCACCTCTTCCATGGACAGTGCAGGTAGTAACTATGGAAGGAGGGATGAGGTTTGGGGTGTATCTTTGCATAAGGAGTGTATTTGGTAAGAGGTTATTTTAAGTCCCACTTTGCTAACTTAGATGATCCAGTTGAGTATATGAAAAAGTAAAATTAAAGGGTAATTTGAAGCTTTAAGGCCCCAGTTAGAAAAGGAGTGTCATCACTGTTGATCCATAGATCTGAGTTTTGGATCTGTGTAGCTGAGTCCATTTATATGAGAATTGCATTCTTACAGATCCATTTAGTTATGGTTTGGCTCTTTACAGTCTCAGGAATTGACATCTAAAGAAAAATTTATCTGTGGCTTTTATTTGTCAAAGATGTCAAATTGTGGATTTGACTGCTAAAAAGCTAGAATTTGCTAGAATTCCTTTCAGTTAAAGCTGTAATCGCAGGGGCTTGTGAAGGTGAAAAACAAAGTTCACTTTGGCCTGCTTACTTGCAGCTCCAGGGTAGAGCTGGCTCCTGCCCACTGATGCTGACACAACTGGCATGAAGGTGAGAACAGCAATGGGGGATGCAGAACACAGGTGCAATGAAAAGCAGCTTTTCGGTGCATTCTGTGAACTTGCTGCTGATTTTTTTAGAGCTGGTAACATCACCCCTCTCATCCTGAATTAAGAAGTTAAATATGCAAGAGCCTTACTTGTTATATAAAACAATATCTGGCTTCCAGATCTGGCCAGATGGAACTCGGATGAATTCAGCACCTCCATAGTCTGCTGGATTCCACCGAAGCTTGTAATCATTCCAGATCTAGTTATGGTAGAAATGAGTCTGTGTTAGGTTTGTGAAGAAACTGAAATTCAGTGGACTAGATCTGAACCAAGTACTGTCATATCACTTCCTGGGCTGATTTATTTTGGATAGCACAGTGCTTAAATGTTTCTTTAGCAAACACATATGTGTTTGTTCATATGCAGATTGTGGGGGGGGGCTAGATATCTAGACATTATATACATATATGACTTAAATGTATGTGGCTGTCCCAGGAATGCCTACTCCATACCTGAACAAGCTGAAAGAAGGAATAAGACACTCTCAGAGTGTAGGATTGTAAAAAATGACTTTGATCTCAAAAAAACCCCAGATATCTATGGGACAGTGAAAACAAGTTCCTGGAGGCTGGTGGCACAAGTTGTGAGCATCAATTGAGGGACCTTGGGTCAGACAGTGCTCCAGCGTGTTGTGGCTCGGGTAACAGCCTTTGTCACTGGCGTTTGTTAAACCCCATTTCAACGGACTTTAATATCAAGCTGAAGGTGGGAACTAAGTTGATTACTAAGCTGACTGCAACAGTGGGTAACTGCATTTTTAAAAAGGCTTTCTAACATGAAGTACACTTTTTTTGTTTGTTGGCACTTTACGGGAGCTAACCAGCACCAAATGGCGCTGTGCAGGACCGCCGAGCCGAGGTGCTTCCTTTGCGTTGATGTCTGCCAAGGCAGAGATTTGGAAGTCTCCAGAGCAAAAATGTTGTATTCAGCGACTGCAACAAGTGTAGCACCCTTGCTCTCCTCTCCTCCCGTCCCGTCCCGTCCCGTCCCGTCCCGTACCGTCCCGTCCCCGCTGCTCCGCTCCCGTCCCGTCCCGTCCCGTCCCGTCCCCGCTGCTCCGCTCCCGTTCTGTCCCCGCCTGCCGAGCGGCGCGGCGGCCGCTGGGGGGCAGCAGCGCCCCGGGGAAGGGCTCGGGCGGCGCCGCCGGCGCGGAGCGAGGGAGGTGGGTCTGCTCTCCCGGCATCCTGCCCAGAGATCCTGCCTAAGGATGCTCTCCCGGCATCCTGCCCAGAGATCCTGCCTAAGGATGCTCTCCCGGCATCCCTTCCAGGGCTGCTGCCCAGAGATCCTGCCTTAGGATGCTCTCCCGGCATCCTGCCCAGAGAGATCTTGTCTAAGGATGCTCTCCCGGCATCCCTTCCAGGGCTGCTGTCCAGAGATCCTGTCTAAGGATGCTCTCCCGGCATCCCTTCCAAGGCTGCTGTCCAGAGATCCTGCCTAAGGATGCTCTCCCGGCAACCTGTCCAGGGCTGCTGTCCCGGGATGCTGTCCAGGGATCCTGCCTAAGGTTGCTCTCCCGGCATTCTGTCTGTCCCGCGAGGAACCCGAGCCTGGCGCCGACCCCGCAAGCCCGGTGCTCCCGGAGCCCGCTGACGTCTCGCAGGCGGGCGGCTCCTGTGGCCCCGGGTCGCCCCGGCGGAGCGGGGAACTCTCCCGCACCGGAGGGGCAGTGAGCTGGTGCCCTCTGTGCTGTCACCGAGCGCCACTTACGTGCTTCAGCCACAAGTTGGTTTCCATGATCTGGTTGACTTCGTCCTGGAAAAGAGAGGTGTGTCGGGAGAAGCGGCGGCCCTGCCGCGTTGCCCGGCGGGGCGGTACTCACCACCTTCACCAGCTGCGACATGGACACCTCGAACTGGATGATGACGGGGTCCGAGACGTTCTTGACGGGGCGTACGAACTGGTTGTAGCTCTCGAAGAGGGCCGTGTAGAGACGGTGCTCGGCCTCGGAGCCGTCGCAGCCTGCGGAGGGCACGGGGTGAGCTCCGGGCCAGCCCCGTGCGGGGCAGGGCTGCCCCGGTACTGCCCCGAGTGCTCGGCACCCCCGGGCGCTGGGCAGAGCCCCAGCCCCTCCTGGGCAGAGCCCAGCAGTGTGCCATGGGCGCGTTCGCTTGGGCTGCGAGAGGGAGAGCGGTGAAAGGCAGAGCTACGACACAGGTTTTCTAACACACGTCTGCAAATGAGTTACAGAAACAGTTTCGGGGAATGACTGAAGAACTGGGGGTGCAAAAACCCTTTCCCCTCACAGTCCCAGTCCCCCAGACCTGGCAATGCCGCAGGGCTGTGGAGCAGAGGAAAGGGAAAGCATAGCCCAACAGACCAGGCCTCGGGTAAGGGGTAAGGATGCCTCGCAGCAGGAGGAGTCCCAGGAAATGAGAAGTTTGCTTTCTAGTCTGAGTCACGATTGCGTGATTACAGTGAGGAGAGCAGCCTGCTTCTTAAAAGATATATTTAAAAGGATTAAAATTTGATTAACTGTTACATTCAAAGACTTTTCAGCACACCCAAATAAGTATGCTAATTATCCCTTTATTATTCTAAGTAGTTTTTATTTATAATATATTCCTATTGTCCTTTTGCCACTCATAAATGCAGTTCATCATACCCTGTGGCAAACAAAAAACTGCAAACTGAAATTCTTAAACAACGAAGCACTTAACCTGTTTCAGGATGAGGCGTGACAGCCTGTATTTTACACTGCCATTTTACTATCAAACTCTATAGGCAATAACCATCCTGACACTATTAGAAGCCAGTGGCCTTTTATTTTTAGAGGGCTATCTCTTAAACTCTCTTCTGGACAACACATGCTCATGAATTCCAACTGAAACACCAGAAAAAGTGTTTTGTCGTTAATGTCACTATGCAAATTTGGCAAAGGTACAAACTGAAGTTTGTCAAACATATTCTACAGTTCCTTTGAAACAGAAACATGGATATATATGAAATATGAATATTTGTAAGGACACGTTTATTTTCTGCCAGTTGTTTTTTAGAAGAGAAAGAGGGGAGGCAGAATTATCTGCAGGTGACAGAGTACACAAAGCAGGTGTTACTTTTGAATCTGTGAGACCTCACCTCTCCCTATGACAAGAGTTCCCCTCATGTGAAACTTCAGCTAAAAGGTCCTTCGTTTGCTTTTGGTTTTGTTTGGTTGATTTTAACCCCTTGTGCCTTCCCTTGTTCGCTTGGAGTACATTTTTCTTTTCAGATTAGTGAAATCATTCAAGCCAACTTGCTAACTAAAAAATGAACACTTTTTAACTGCCAGTCTTGCCCATATTATTTCCTGATATCTTCTATCTCTTAAATTGAGATTTCCTGGAATAAATAGCCCCCAATCTTTTAGGTAAATAATTTTAAATCTAGATCTTAACAACTATTATAGTCAATCCTAAACCGCCAGCCTTTTTACACAGTACTAGCACTCTAATTAAATTAATCTAGCATCCACTGTTTCTAAAGAAGTGCATTCATGTGAGGGTTTTTTGTTTAACTGTTTTGTGCTTTCCATATCTGCAGAGAGATGTGCTGTTTGCAGCACATACTTTATGCTGTCACTTTCTTGTCTTCTCTGCAATATGTGAAACCACACCTTCATGTGTGAGGTCCTTTTCCTTCATGTTAAAATGGCTTTATGTGTCCTGTTTGGCATTTTAAATAAGGACTACTTAACTACTTTGCAAGGATAAACTTAAGCCCCCCGCCACCACCACTGAACAACAAGCTATGTAACACAAAGAGCTGTACCACAATTCTGTACATTTGCCCCTTAGGTTTCAGAGTGCTTCTGCACTTCTTAAAAATAATTAGCACCAAAACCGTCTCCTGCTTCCCTTTTCAACCCTCCCACCAAAGAATAACAGATTAAGGATCACTCACCTTGACAGAGAAAGCAAAGAGCAGCAGTTAGAAGGAGAGTGTTCCAGCTCTCCATGGTGTTATGGATTACTGCCTGTGGCCAGAGGCTGTTGAGGATGAGCTTCACTGCCAGGACTGTAGGAGCACGGGCAGCAGGGAGGGCTGGGCTCCCCCGATGCGTGAAATGCCTGCGAGCAGCAGCCGGCAGGACCCTGAGCAGCTCTGCGCACTGAGCTCCCATTAGCTTTGCTGTGCTGCCCCCTTTCAAGCTACCAGGCTGTCAGAGCTTTGGGAACGGCAAATAAAGTGCAGGAAAAACAGATGTTATTGTAGGCAAAGAGCAGTCTTCTGGCACAGATAGTGGGCGAGAGTCCTTAAAATGGTGCATAAATGAGCTTGGTAATCTGACAACACTGAAGACTTTTCCAGCCAGCTGCTATACAGGATCCTTATCTATCAGAAGATCATGCCAGTCTGCTAGGGGAAGTTTAATACAAATCTTTTAATTGAATTGTTTTGAAATGAATATCGACATTAGGGATGACTGATTTAGCAGTGAACTGAGATCATGGGACCTGATCTCCAATGAGGCTGTTGACATTTATTTCCTCCTTGTGTCTCATCTCACAAGAGCATGTGCTGGGTGCTTGGCCATGTAAAAAGGATGTGCTATTCCCATGGAGTAATTAAAGGCATGTACAATTGGTGGGATCTGAGCCCAGTGTTAAACATAGCAGCTGGATCTGGCAAGAATCTGGGGGCTTTGAATGGAAATCAAACTTGACTAAACCCTTGAGAATAACTGTCTTTGGAATATTCCTATTTTGTAGATTAGAAAGGCGAAATCTGAGAAGGGGAATACGAGTGCAGGATCCCAACTTGATCCCACAAGACCTTATTGTTCATGGGAAAGGACACTAGAAAGAAGGAGGACCTGTTTGAAGTTCAACCATAAAATCATGATTTGCAAAGTGAGACATTTCCCAGGGGCCCATCGTCTTCCTCGTTAACTTACAAGTCACCTTTTGCACTGCCCTCCCCATCTGGAAGGACCAGGTGATGCAAGGCTCATGCAGTGGTTGTTGCACACATCTGTGCAAAAGGAAGAAGTGGGGAGAGAACAATATGGGATTCTACCCCTGTTTTTAGAACCGATGAGAAGGAAGCCCTGTGGGACAGGAGCTGCACCAATAGGTGCTTCACTGTCTGCCCTTAGGCAAGGATAAGCAATGACCCCGGTTGGTGCTGTGTTAAGAGGTAGCAGTGGGAGAAAGAGCACCAGACTGGGTTCAGTTCTTGGCACTGAGCTTGTTTATCCTGTTAGCCCTATCTCTCAGAGCATCATTCACTTTGTCCCCAGACACATGCTCTTATGATAATTTCTGTAATTCTATTAGCGTGGAGGAAATAGGCTTTACTGTCCATTTGATTTTATTTATTTTCTTTTTTTTTTTTTCTTTTTTCAGAGAACTCAGCTGCTTGGTCTTTTAGCTTAACCCTTTGTGGATCCTTTTGGTTTTGCATTTCCAGGGCATTGAGGCTAAATGTTTTTCATTTCTGACTCTTTGCTATAATGAAAATTATAACTGAGAATTTTGTTTGTTCTTTTTAATCCCAACTAGAAATGAGTTAAGATCAGACTGTAATTGGTGTTCCCCAAAAGTCAATGTTTAACCTGAATAATTTGGAAACACTGATCTGCAGAGGAAGCGAAGAGCCATAGCATCAAGGGATATAGATATTTTAGCTTAATTTGCCTAGTTACTGAAATTTGCAGTGATGTTTGTATGGCACAGATATTTTTTTCCTAACATCCCATGCTGTATCTCTTGGTGAAATCAGCTCAGAATTGTGGTAGAATTATTTTTATGGCTGGGGAGGGTGATGTGATAAGAACACGTCACCAGGACTGCATTGCAGAACTACACAGAAGAAGAATTTGTATGGGTAGGGGGAAGCTGATCTACACAGGAAGATATGCAGTAACAACCTATGCAGCCTTTGTTCTTTAATAAACATGCTGCTATTAGAGGGGTTTTGCTTTGTTAATATTCGTTAAGATGAAATCTTAACTCAGGTGAGGAAGAAAAGAACATTTTCTGACCTTTGGTCTGGGGTACTGATGGTCCCACTTGTTTCCAGTTTGCTGTGGCAGCAGGGGTGCAGAAAGTCCCCAGTAAACTCATCTGAGTGCAGGTGGTGGAGTTGGAATTTCTACATCTTCTGGTGGAAGGCAAGAATGGTTCAGGATTAAAGAGTTTTGTAATGGTTGGGAATGGAGAGAAATCAAACAGAGATTTTTGCTCACTGGTAGGGAAGCAAAGACTGGTTGCACAATACCATTGAAAAACAATTTTAGTGTAAAATACATTTTGAATGTCCACTTTTTTTTTTTTTTTTTTTTTTTTTTTTTTTTTTTTTAATGGAAAGCATTATGGTAAAACTCCTGGAAAGCAGAAATGTTAAAGTTTATTTTGTTCAATGAGCTGGGACATTATCATATTCATATTTGCCTGCAAGAAGACATTTTTGATATTTCCTTTTCTCCAGTCTTTTAGTTTTAATATCTTGCCAAAAAATAAAAGCAGAAAACCCTATAATTCTTTGACAAGTTAAACTGGGAGCAGTTCTATCTATTATGTAGGTGGTTCTGCCAAGAGTTAGGCAAAAATAGGATTTGCCAATTGGAAAATACAGTTTTAGGAGGTCAGATTTTTCCAAATTTTAGGACTTTGGGTGAAATTTTTCTTTCTCAAGTTTGCTATGGATTAAATTAGATCTGCAAATGCTAATGACAGAGAGGTGGTTCCCAACAACGTAACTAGGAAAGAGTATATTGGTTTGCTATGATTAAAAAGGAGTAAGGTGGCCACATCGGATGAAAAGCACCATTTCCTGGATGAGAAGCTCTGGCTCTGCAGGGATCTCCCTGGGGCCAGTGATGTGCCTCTTGAAAGCTTTTTCTGGGTTTGTCAAGTCTGAGGACTTCATCTGCCTGGACTCTGTGATAGCTGCTAACCGAGCTGCCAAATCCTTTCTAAAACTTTTGTTCCTGCTGAGGATAATTCAGCTGAAGGCTGCAGTTACAGAGCCAAGCATTGTCAGTCTTTCCTGCTCATAGAGATAAGGCCAGTTCTGAGATGGGAGCACCTGGGGCCTCATTTCAGATGCGTTCAGGCAGTGAGGGGGAGGATAAGAGGGAGGTGGGTAGGAGAGTAATGAGGGTAAGAGTGGGACAGAGCCCAAAGTGCTGTTGATGCTGGGTGAAAACAATAGAAAGGGGTCTGTCAGGGGGCTGCAGCTGCTTTGCTGCATCCATGGCTGCTTGGCTGGGTGAGTCCCTCTCCCTCCTGCCCTGAATTAGTTTGCAGCAGCAATTGTAGCTTAAGTTTGCGCTGCCTCTTTCACATTCCCTGTTCAGCGTTAAAGGGCCTTTATCTTTACATTGCCTGCACAGTGCTGGCAGCTTCTCTGGCTTCCCTGTGCCTTCACTGCAAGCAGAACAAGCTGTTCAGCAGCTGAGGCATGTGTGCACCTGCGGCTGGGATGTAACCCAACATACACAGCATCTCCTTGCTTGGGGAAGGCAGCCCTCTGCTCCCGGGGCTGTCCGTGCCCCATCTCACCTCACAGCTGCTACAGCTGCCTGCAGAGGAGCAGCTCTGCTCTCCAGGTCTGGGAAGGAGAAGGAAACATTTGAGGTAGGAAGAGTCTGTTGACCCATTTAAACTTTACAGCACCCACCGGTCACCACGGGAGTGTCCAGAGCAGTTAATGTTTGGGGAGGTGGCCAGGGGCTGCCCCCGCTGTGCGAGGAGGAGATGGTGATCCCAGCGTACGTGCATCACTGGGGCGGGCAGTCCTGCAGCTATCCCTCGCCTCCCTGCCCTGTGTCAGGGACACAGTGCTTAGAGGAAGGGGAATGGAAGGGAGGGTGACAGTGTGAACTCTTCCTCCTTCTAACGAGGGGCTGCAGACAGCCTCACCCACCCCACTTGTGATACTTCTCCCCATCTTCTCAGGCTGCACCCGGCCCCGCTGAAGGACCCGGGGACCCTCCCAGGCCTCAGGGATGGGGGGTGCCTCTGGTGCAGGGGGGTTCAGCCAGGGGCTGGGAAGGAGTGAATGCAGCCCTGCAGCTGCTAGGAGCAGTTGCGAAGGCGTGAATGCAGCTGTTTGGCACAGCTGAACCTATGTCCTTATCTGAGGCTGCCTGGGAATGACAATCTAGGTGGAAATGTAGCTTGGTCTTGATGAAGGCAAGTAGGGCTGGAACTGTCAACAAGCCACAGCTGAAGAAGAACACAGGTTTAGGTGTCAACTAATCCCCCTGCGACAGGTGAGACTCAAATCCCCTTCACAAGTAAGAGTGGACTTCAAGTTTGTTCACCAGGCATTAGTTGTACTTACCAATGGTGATACAATTGTTCTGTGTCTTCACAGCACCCCAAGGGAAAACTGAGATTGGTTTAACTTGAAAAGTGCCAGGAGCCCACTTCTCTTTTTGCAGGTTACCTGGAACAAACTGTGGTGGGATTGTCCTGTGATGGGGGTGGGGTCTGGGGCCTCAATCTGTCCTTTTGCCCAAGACTTTAAGACTCTATGTGCTTCCCTAGCTGATTTGTTGAGGGTTATATTTAAATCCACATTAAAATCTCCCCAGAAAAACACACAGGTCTGTGCATGCTCACATGTCCTCTCATTCTTGCTGCCTTTCACCATTGTCTTCTCCCATTGCTTTCCTGTGCTCGTAGCCTTAGACTCATTAAAGTGTGTTTGTGCCCCAGACACATGAGCTGTCAAACTTGCAGGAAATTTGAGGACTAAATCTATATAAAGGAAAATGTTATGTTTTATTTATATTTCATCATCAGAGTATTAAATACATGTTTGTTTATCATACATTAATTTGGCCTTTGTTGATCCCTCGGCTACCAAAGGTGGCAAGCTGAGAAACCTTTCAGTGGCTACCTAAGAAGTGTTTCTGTTTCTCAGTTCAGATGTAAGTATCAAACCCACTTGCAAAGCTCTTTATAAATCAGACACAAATAACTTTGATGCATTTGAAGGAAGTAAATTTCACAGCAGTATCTTCTTTGTAACACGGAAATTGCAGTATTCTAAGGAAAGAAAATATCCTTCCTAAGGCAATGTATTTAAAATACATAATAATAAGATGATGATGATGATGATGCTAGGATGACATC